TCATGACCAAGTTTATATCGTACTTCATCTTGCTAGTCAGATCAGTTTTGCTGCAGGCAGTCTGGGTAAGAGTAATTCTTAGTCAGGCCTCACTCAGACTTTCCACCCAAGGAAAAAGAATTGTCCTTATTGTAATGCCTGCAGAGGGAAGTAGTCTGAAATAACTCTAGCGTCTCTCTTCTTTCCCAGGGCTGAGATTTGACAGGGCAGGAAGAAAAGAAAGAAACTTAGATTGGCAGCTGGGGTGGGGGGACAGCTCCAGAGCACAATGCAGGGGATTGCTCTCCCTTTATTGGTCAAGATGACAGATGCTCCTACTCCCCATGGTCTGTTCTGTTCCCATCCATGCCCTCAATTCTTTGCTGGGTGCACCTTGCATATCCCCGGCTCCGCCAGGGACATCAGCACCTACTGAGATAATGCCTAGGTGGAGAGGAATTAAGCCCTGGTCTTATCCCAGAGGTACATCTCAGATCGAGAAAATACTCCCAGGCCAAGTTCGCTGTCACCCTTCTACCCACAGCCCCGATTAATCCCTTCGTTATTTTTGGAGGCTTCGGAAAGAGAGCGCCTTCCTGAGACTCATTACCCGCCTATAATGTAAGGAGTGAAGCCGACTCCTAGGTCAAGCGAGGAGGATGGGTTGTGCGGATGCGTGTCCTAGGGAGTGGAAGACTCTGGCCTGGCCCTCTTTCATTAAAGCAGGCTTTCAATGGCCGTCCGAAGGGACAGCAGTAATCGGATTGTTTTGCTGGAGGCTGGGCTGCCTGGGGGCGTCTCCCGCTTTGCTGCAATTCGGATTACCTGCATCGGAGAGGAATGAATAGCTGCCGGGGTGCTGGCACGGTCTGACGTGCCATTGTGCTTTCCAGGATGCTACAAGCAGCCTCACCCCGTTTCTGCCGCTGTCCCTCTTAATCTCCTGCTTTGATCTCTCCTTTCCCCGAGATTGGCTAACACGGGACGGCGCTTTGGTTAAGGATTGGGCCGGTTGGCATGTCACTCAGAAAAGAGGAGGAGACTTGCAAGCTCCCAAGTCCGGGAATGCAAAGTGAGATTTACGTGGTCCAGGTTGACTCTCAGACGAAGGAGCGTTATGCTTTGGGCCAGTGGGAAAATAATACCTTGGGAGGTACACGGCCTTATTAGGGATGATTGTGGGTCACTCCCCGAGGATTCCCTTCCTGTGCCTCCTTTTATTGGAATGAACCCACCATCCTGCACGGAGAGACCATGATTTTTTACTACTTTTTGGAAATCGGACATCTACATTATGTTCAAGGTGTGGGATATAGATGTAATTAGTAACCTTGACTTATCACTAAGTGTTGTATCTTTTTATTCTTGATGAATGTATTTTATTTTCCTTATGTACACTGAAGACATAGGCACCAAAGACAAATTCCTTGTGTGCCCAATCACACTTGGCCAATAAAGAATTCAATTCAATTCTATTCTATTCTATTCAATAAAATCGCTCGTGTAATGGACGTGGGGAAAGCATTTCTGCTCCCTTCCCGCCCCCCCGCTCCAATTTTGAAACCGCAAATACTTCATAAGAAATCACTACTTCGATGAAGTTTCTGCTCGGCATTATAATGAAAGTCATTAAAATGGTTTAAAACAAGGTAATCCTAATCCATGGATAAAACTAAACAGGGTTCAAAACATGGTATCTGGTCAAGCCATGGATTGAGTCTACTATGCCTATTGCCAAGCCATTATTTGCTTATTTTTGTTTTGCTAAATAAGACGCTGGATCACATTTAGCTTTAGGGTGCTTATTAACAACGATTTACTTGGGGGGGGGGGTGCGTGTTATTGGTTGGTCTTCGTTTGCCCTGAACAAACAAATCACATAATAATTTAAGGTGGGAATAAATATATGACTTAGATTTAGAGTTAAGTTTATTGTACACTTTAAATGTACACTAATCGGTAGACATTACAATGAAGTTTCGTTGCATACATGTATGAGAGGGCCACCTGCCAAGAAAATCAAAATGAAGCACCCAAGACTCAAACTGGATTCAAAAGTGGCGTCAGTTTTTCGTTAATCCTGAACTTCTTTAGCAGAATTACCTCCGGTTTCCACGCGGCGTCCCCCTTGTCCCGTTCAACGCGCTCCGAAAAAAAAAGGATAAGGGCATTTCGGAAGGTGGAGCTTTGGCTCCCTCGGAACCTCGTTTCAATGGCGCTGTTGGCAGCCGAGCAGAAGCGTTTGCCGCTCGCACCGGAAGCGTCGTTCCCTCTCGCGCATCTGATCTCCACCATCCGACAAAGATTTGCACCTTTTCCTTTTCACAGGTAAAAGCTGAAAGTCTCTGTCTGCCCAAAGAAAACGCATGTGGCGCCCCCCCCTTTCATTCAGTATGAAGAAGGTGTCTGCGTTTGATTTCATATAACGTACACTTTGGTCACCTGTATCGAGTACTTGCAAATGCTGTGCGAAGGCCAGCAAGTTTTCAAAATGTGGATGGATTCTTAGAAAAGATTTTAAAAGTTTATGACGACAGATTAAGTGGATTCAGATTAAGGTTCTATAATTGTAGGTCCGGTTGTAATGTCTATGGAGATTCTCAGTCATCCAGGTCATGGTTGTCATGCTTTTTCAAGAGGCAACTGGACTTCCTTAGTTTTTCTTTGAAGACATTTCACTTCTCATCCAAGAACTGAAGAAGCTTCTTGGATGAGAAGTGAAACATCTTGAAAAAGCACCTTTGGGACCTCCTGTTGTAATAAACAACTTATTTAACAGATTTTATAAGTTCCATGCAAATCAATGAGGACAAAGATAAGTAATTTTTTTTTAATGGAATAAATGAACTGCCCTTTAAGAATGAGAAAAATACAAGGGAGGAGCTTCCTTTTGTGTCTGGTCAAACCCTGTTCAGCTAGGAGACTCAATTTTGTTAAAGTATAATGTGTGAATCTAGCTGTTACGATTCAGAAATAATGCTTAGTGTGTGGCACAAAAGCTCTGGTTTTTGTTTATGCGGCCATCTGTGATTAAACAAATAACAGCCTTGTGTGATGACGGTGAAGATTCCTCACATGCTCAGTTCAACAGTGTACTATAGAATATGCAGCATAAAGTATTGGGAGGGCCCCACAGTGTAGCAAATCTCATTAGATTCAAAAGAGATAGATTGCCAAGTTTCAAAAGCATTTGCTAGAGCTGATCATGCTTGATTTTATTTCACTATAATTGATCTGATAGAATTAAAATGTTATGATGTTAAAATGGGATGGGTGTGAACCATTTAGAAGTTATATAATGTACAGGTTATAACATAACACCAAAAAGGTTGGTGTATTGAGAAGCCGCAATTGACAGTTATTTCATATAATATATAATGTGTCTGTGTGAGAAATTGCAATTATTTGTATGCAAATAATTGCATACAATTTCTATGTATGCAATTATTTGAAAAGTGAAGGGGACTTTAATGTGCTGTATTCTGTGAAAGCAACGTGGCCACCTGAGTGGTGCACGCTCAGAAGAACATTGCTAAAGATACAGTTGTAAAAAAAATCCCATGTTAACATAATATATGATACTGTGATGGTATATTTTTTTCTGTGCAAAGTAAACCTGTTTTGAATTGGAGAAAATTCATTTGTTTATCTCTCCATCTCTTAGTGTTCTACTAGGACAAGATGGCATTTGAATCTGACACTGATGTTCTTCTCTACAAAAATGATGAGTTCAGAATATTGTGCCATGGTGATGTATACTGTTAAATCAGACTACTGACAGAGGCCCTGCAATAGTCCTGAAAAGAAGAATCAGTGCTTATACCTAAAACTGATATTTTTCTGAAGCAATGACACCTTTCAATAGTGTTTTTTACAGGAAGATTTTGTGTCTGTCCTCTTACCATGGATATTTTAGAATGCATCGAATTGAAGATACTCTTCTAAATCTCTGGCACAGACTTCTGAGAAGTTACTCCTATTATAAAGCCAATTTGGTCTCGGCTGTTGATGTGGTCAAGTATTGGCAAAGCGTGTTTGAGGAAAACAATATCCCAGAAGCACTGACATCCTCTGAATACATTGTGTCTCATGTCCTAGGAGCAAAAACAGTTAAGTGGAATGGATGAAATTAGAGCTATAGTAGTGACTGAAAAATATATATATATAAAAATTTTCTGTATCTCAGCTACACTGTGGTGATTGTCCAAATATTCTCAGTCCAAAACTGGATGATCTAATATAATATGTTTATGCATATGTGTATACTGAGCACCAAAATGGTTTTCTCAGGATCAATCTTATCTGTGCTTTAGCACATAACAAATCTCCCTAAGAGATAAGTAACACTTCTTGGAGGCAAATTGTAGCTTGGGCGTGCTTCCAAAGAATTGTCCTGTTCAAAGTACTTGGAGTTGTTCGCTGTTTGCATTAGCTTTTAATAAATCTTTTTCTTGATTAATAAGTACAGAAGATGTATATGTGTCTTCATTTGCCATAGAATATAGTGGCTAAGCTCCTATTCCTGCTTCATAACTAGAAATTAGGTTTAATAAACAGTTAGAAGAAAAATAAATAGTTAGATAATGAAATTACAGTGAAGGCATGAGGTAAGAAAAGAAAACATCTGAAGCTAGTTCACACCAACATCATTCATGTCCCTACCTTTCTGCCTATTCATATCATCATATCCATCATGTCCATGTGCCATGTTCCATATTTTCCCCCTACATTTATAGCTTTCTCAGCCAATTGAGTTATATATTCTTTACCTGCAGCTTTATCATTTTTGGCAAGTAAGTGTTTATTACTTCCTTTTCTTCTACTTTAGGCACTAACATTTTTTTCTTGGGTACTAACATTTTTATCATGATCACCAGCTATAAGTGCTTGGTAAACCATGGATTTTTTAGTAATTAGAAAAAGTGTAAACAGCCTTAATTCTACCTGTGTCACAAGTAGCTTAGCATATCTAAAGTGCAATTCTTCTTAAAAGGTGTTCAGATTGAAAACTGCCTTTATATTTTAAGAAACCTGCAAAAATAAATAGTCACAATATAGGGAAGATAGGCAACATAAATAATTAACAAATAAAAATAGATAACCTGCATACAGTTTTATATAGCTAATACATTTCATTTCACTGATGCTCGTATCACTGAATGTGTTCAAGCAGAGGCTGAACAAACATCTGTTAGCGATGCTTTTAAATTGGATTCCTGCACTGACCAGGAATTTGGATGTGATGGCTTAAATAATGCTTTCCAACTCTGTGATTTTATCATTTCCCGCTGTATATATTTGTTAATATAGATATTTAGCATTAATTATATTGCTTTGTCTCAGAGTATGTATACTAAATAATGAATTTAAGTTGCAGGAAGATAGATACTAATTTAGTTTTTTGGGGGGAAATGTAAAATATGACCAAAAATATTTCATTTGGAAGAGGATTGATGAATTAGAAAATATAGAAGAATAAAGAAATTAAAGTGCTCACCTATTTTTCTTACTGTAGATGGTCAGATACCATCAGTGTCAGTGGTAGGTTCTCGGAGGTACGGCCCGGTACGGGCATACCAGTGGTGGCTGGGAGCAGCAGCCACCAGACCAGAATAATGGTTCTTTTGGCCCACCCACCTGCCCACGTTCCTTACGCTTTTTGATACAAATGGGCCAATTGCGCATGTGCACACAGTATGCGGCGCATGCAAGACCTCCGCAAAGCAGAGTGTCGCTGGGCACTAGCATGCGCAGCATGCGTGTCTCACGAGGACGCCCGATCCTGTTGCAGCATACTGGTTGCGACGGGATCCAGAACCCATCACTGATCAGTGTATATAATTAATTCAATGAAAATTAGCCTTTATGATCTATTCTGGTTAAAGGAAGTGATAAGGCAATTTGTTAGTGGAGCCATTCAGATATTGAATTTCCTTTGCTTTTAATTTAGATTCCTGTATTGAGCATTGACAGGCTCGTATAGTAGATAAGAAATTTATCGTCTGTCAGCCTTCACGTTGCCAGCTTTGAACCTCTTTTTTGCCAGTGGTTACCTAAAAAGGGAATTACACTTGTTTACTGTTTATCTGTCATACAAATTATTATGAGCCTCTTGCATTTAGAAGCAGTATGGCCTTGAAAGGAATTTACAATGCTGAAATTGTTGTTATTCTCCTTTATTGATGTTAGTTAAGCCTTCACCACCATCTCCTCAAAGGAGAGAAAGTCCAGTGTTTCTGGATGACATCAAATTGTGGTGCCATATCAAAATGGCATCCAACATACTGGATTAAATGGATTTAGTTTTTCAATAGTTTTTTTAAAAAAATAATGGACATATATGTATGGTGAGTAGGTGACTGTTTTATAAAGAACGTGTATACTTTGTTTAAAATAAAATATTTGTTATTCAGTTCCAGAGTCTGAATGCCAGCAGCATATCTGCTCCCCTTTCAGCAAAGCAGCAAAAACAGATCCAACAGCTCTGTGGTAAACGACTACAACGGTAGGCACTCTGGTTTCTCTATTTTCATCCATGAGTTCTTTATAAACATGGAGCAAGCAGAAACTAAAGCAGCCAAATTGAGCATCACCTAATTTGTAGCTTCCCTGTGTCCGAAATATTGGGAGAAAAGAGAATATGAGATATGTATATAATTCTTTTTAAGAGAGACACTATCAAGATAACCCAGAAAGGAGATACACCCCCTCCCCACACACATACACACTTGAGTTAGGAATAAGCAATAAAAGAGAGTTCAATAATATTAACTATCCCTTTTATGGCAAAAGTGTAGATTTGCATTTACTGTGTAATTAAATTATGAGTAAATCTGTTTGAAATCTATGAAGCCATAATAAGAAGTGCATCAGCAAAGAGATGTTAGAGCTAGCAGACCTAGTAATATTTACTAGCTTAAATTATCATAGGTAAAAATAAAGGTTTCCCTCGTCCAGTCGTAGAGGATGGTGCTCATCTCTGTTTCTTAGCCAAGGGAGTCAGTGTTGACCACAGACATCTCCGTGATCCTGTGGTCAGCCTGACTATACCATAAGGTGGAGAGAACGCTGTTACCTTCTCACCGGCGTGGTACCTATTTATCTATTCACATTTGAATTCTTTTGAATGGCTAGATGGGCAGGAATGGGCAAGTAACAGGAGTCACTCAGTTGGACAGTCCTCGGGTCTTAAATCCAGACTGTCAGCTTTCCAACTGACCAACTCAGGGTTTTTAACCACTGAGCCATCACAACCCTCCTAAATTATCATACAAGTATTAAATGAAGGCGTTATTTTGAGCAAAGCAAGAGTCAGATAAGGTACTTCACCCATTCTAAACAAAAATATTTATTGGGGGGGGGGTAATTGATTCATTTACTACTTTTGATTTCTTGCAAGTTGAAATGAGCACTATTTCTATTTGAAAATATCAAACAGCTGCACTTTCTACATATGAGTTACAATTAATTTTAGCAATTATTCATTGAAATAGACTACTTTTAAGAAAAGTTTAACTTGATTGAAATTGATTGTTTCAGTAGTTTGAATTTACTTGCTTGCTTTCTGTCTAATTCTAAATTAACAATAGTTTATAGTTCATTTTCTTTTTGGAACAAATAAGTTGCACATGGGTTGCAACACGTGATGGTTAACTTGTTCTGTGTATGTTGGTGGTGCACACTTGGTATTCCTCCTGAAGAATCAGATGAACATTTTTGGGGTGTTTCTGATCCATTTGGGTCATTGGAGTCAGAAGTGGCCTCTGTGACATAATTCAATTTCAGCTTAGATTCATTTATCAGCTACAAATTTATTTGGACAGTAATGTTCTTTTGGAAATCTCACTCTCACTCTCTTCCTCTCTCTCTCACTCTTCCTCCCTCCCTCCCTCTCTTTGATTAGTGCTTTATATGTGACTAACTTCTGTAGGTCCAAAGCAGAACTGTTGGGTTATTAACTGAGAACAGCCTGTATGCTTATTAGTGACATTTCTCTATAGTATCCAGTTTGTGGGTTCCTTGGTATACTCTGAGCTTAGTTGTTTTCTTGCAGGTGTTTCATTACTAAACTAAGTGGTGGATAATTTGGAGCTAGAAAAGAATAGGGATTTACAGCCTTTTTGCTGAAACCCAGCATTTACTTTCTGTTTTCAGCAAAACTGGACCATAGCTTACTTAACGGTAGTTTGCTTAAGGACCATTACACAAAAGGTCATTAAATTGAGTTGTCTGTTTTATTACTGTCACAGCTTACAACATAATGGGCAGCATCTATATTTTTTAAAAAGTAGAATTTATAGACAGAAAAGGGAAAAGGGGAAATATATGAAAACAGAAGAAAAAATAATTTCAGCTGTGACAGAATTACTTACTTGATATCACCCAATGCAAAAGCTTAAGAGAGGCCTATAATCAAAACGTATGTATATGACTTTATGTACTATATAGGTATATAAATATATGTGTATATGAGATTCACAGAAAACCGAGCACTTTAAATGAAACATAACAATGGGGAAAGTTTTGTCATATGGCAATTTGCATCAGCTAGTACTAAAGCCCTATTTCTACAGTAAAATAATGTACAGCATCTGTACTTTGAAATATGTTGCAATATTATGCTTATGAAGCTTTCAGCTTCTATTGTACTTTCTGTTTGATGAGAAGCAGAATTCTTGTGAAAAGTTGTCTTAGGTCTTGGAAAGCTTGAATGCTAAACTAGTCTCTAAAAGTGGACTAAAACCATATTATAGGAGGATGTAATTGAACAATTGGCAGAGTAATGGATAAGCTCTTGTGAGCAACTGGTGATAATACTGTCGCTTCAGAAGAACTTCTTAATGACATCAAGGTACGTTTCGAAATTATTTATGATAAAATGCCCTCTGGTTCGTACTGGATGTTCTTGCCTTCCATTTCATTTCACAGAGAGAAGGACTGCCAGTACAATTTGTGTTTTAGCAAATGATGTGAAAATAAATGAGATAATAACATCTTGTACCAAAAGTATCACACAATTCACCTTCTATTTCAGGATGCCAGTACAGTATGTTCTTGGTGAATGGGATTTCCAAGATCTGACCCTCAAGATGAGGCCTCCAGTTTTCATTCCTCGACCAGAGACAGAGGCAAGTTATTAGAAAGGAAAAACTGCAGCTGTTTTCTACATGCCAGTGACATGCAGTCAGATGAGGGAGGGGAGGCACAGCTTCACCACTCCCATCATGAAAAGAAAAAAAATGTAAAAGGAAAAGGCGAGTGCTGAGGTGAGGCTAGCTAGCTGCTGCCTCACCGTGGATGTCTCTGCTTAACTGTTTAAAAAAGCCTTTTAAAAGCACCCTCTACTATGAGGCAGGAGAAATGCGTGCTTCATCTAGTCTGACTTTTTAGGCGTTTTATGATCGCTCGAGCAAAGTTAAGGAAGGGTTAAAAGCCTAAAAAGTCCGGAGGTAGGTGAGACATGCAGTTCTCCTGCCTCATAGTAGAGGGCGCTGGTTCTTCCTTTGACTCAGTCGCAGCAGAGTAAGTGATGAGTCCAGTGCAGTCATTGGTCCCTTCCCTTCCAACTCTCTCATTCTGTTTAAAGCTGCAGTGTCGCGCCCACTCTTCCTCCTCTCTTTCTCCGTTTCTGATGCCCCCCACCCCACACTCCCTCTTTTCCTTCAGATTTCCTTTTTTTCTTTTTTCTTTAATAAATGCAATGCCAGTTGCCATTTGGATTGAGACTTCTCTGTTGAGTTAACCTTGCATGAATTGCAAGAGGTGGAAGATTGGGGGGGGGGGAATGTGAGCCTACCAAAGCTTCCAACAAATAGGTGGGTTAGTCAGTGGGGTGTTGGGGGAGAGGACAGAATGCCTGAGCTCCGTCGCGGGCGAAAGAAAGTGCTTTCCGCTAGTGAGGTTTCCCCGCGACCTGGGCTAAACTGTAATGGTGGATTGGCTCAGATCTGGTGCTTCTTGGTGGGCTGGAAGGCGAAGGGAAAAGAAAGTCTTTTGCCATGCCGGGAAGGGGGCATGGCAAAAGAAGCAGTTGGCGAGGTAGCCGGGAGAGAGCCCGGGAGGAAAAGTGCGCGCATGGAGGAGAGGAATCTAAGGCGAAAGCAGCACCCCCAGACAAGCTTTTTCGTCCCTAAGTGCTTTTTACCACCCCCACCCCCACATGGTGGAGCATGGATGGCAATAGCACTTTATTATCCGAGGTGGGCTAATAATAGAATCCAGTCATTTCTGCTGAGCTAAGGCTGCGCTTATTCCCTTTTAACCGCCTGGGGTTCCTTTGGCAACAGGCAGGGATGGCCGTCCCGTCCCCCTCCCCAAGCTCCAGGAGGAACACATTTATTCTTCATTGTTTTCTACCCACCCCTAGCTAAATAATACCTGGGGTACAAAGTGGGGTGGTTGAATTACAGTTACCTGCCATTAAGGGCTTTAAGCATACCGCTGAGGGATACACTGGGGGAAAGAGTAGGAATTCCTCCTCCCCCCTTGCCTTTCATCTCTTCTCCTCTTCCTCCTTCTCCATTCCGAATTAAATATGCAGAAAACTTCACCTGAAGCAACTTTTGCAGGTCAACATATATATGTCTGTATTAGAAATGTTTCTTATTCAACTGCTTACGCAAACATCTAGTGCAGGCAACATATATTAAATTAATTATGAATATTTAACTTGCTTTAAATATATTCCAAAACTTCTACCCAGGGTTGTAGGGGATGATATGTTTTCAATAGTGTATGCCATTCCCTGCTAAACTTTATTACTGATAGCTGTTCATTTCCAAGGAGAACTGAAGTAGAATATTAATTCTCGCCATTTTCTATGCAATTGCAAAGAGATCAAAGATGTCACAGTTCTCCCTTCATGATGATCATTTGTCGTGCTTTAATAGGTAGTCATGAACCTTTGACCACAATTGAACCTAAAATGTTATTTTGCACAGTAAGACAGTTACGTGAATTTTGCCCCACTCTACAACTTTTCTTG